GACCACTCCCCCACCTTCCCACCCCAGTACCATGTGCCCCTCAGGAGGACCCTGGTTCCACGCCCACGGTCCCGGGGTGGTGGAGCAGGCACCTTAGTGAGCTCTGATCCTGCTCAGTAGCCCTCCAGAGCCCTGGGCTGCGGAGCCCCCCTGCCTGTGTCTTTCTGGACACGGTGACTCTGAGCAGTGGCTGCCTCGTGGCCAGCTGCCCCACGGCCCCGGCCCCTGTGGGGCTCTGCCTGAGCCCTCGCGTGGGGCCGTCCGGTTCCGGGGGCCGTTCCTTGGGCGCATGGCCGGTGGGGCACAGAGCCCTCAAGGCATGCTCGTGAGGTTGGCTCCAGGCTGCGTGGGCAGTCACCACTGAGGTCAGCCGTGGCCACGGCAGGGGAGTGCCAGAGGCCGGGCAGGCCTGGGTGCTGCGTGCTGGCCTGTGGTTCCTGGGGTTCCTGATGGGGTGCAGGAGTTTGTTGCCACCTGAGGTCCTCCTGTGGCCCAGATGAGCCAGAGCCCAGCGGGGTCCAGCCACCCCACTGTCCTCTTGCCTGAGCCCTGGCGAGCGCCCTCCCTTGGCACAGCACCCGGCCCTCCCTCCCCGAGTGCCCGGCCTTCGCTCCCCTCTCTCGGTCTCCACCGGCCCATCCGCCCTCTGCACCACCCGCTCTTCCCCGCCTCGGCCCGCGGCCAGGGGAACCTGCGACCCCGCTCAGCCCGGCGGACACTTGCCCTCTCTCTGCCTCTGGTCCTTTGACTCTTGGCAGCGGGACATCTGAGCCGTGGGCTCAGTGGCCACCACATCCTGACCGCCCCGAGGCCGTCCTGTAAGACCTCTCCCGTACTTCCGGACCGCATGGCCCTCGGTCCCCACAGTGGCCCCCTGGGGTGACCTAGGGCTGAGTCCCTTCTGGCTGACAGGCCAGCTTGGCCCTGTTCCTCATCTCCCTGCCCAGGGTCAGGACTTCCAGTCGGTGCCGCCTGGGGGCCCTGGCGGGGGCAGCTGCCGGGCGCTGTCCTCCGAGCCCTGCTGGGGTCCTCCCTGCCCCTGGGGGACCATGCTGTGATCAAGCACCTCCCTGGGTGCCGTCCTCTACAGCTCAGCTCCTTGGGGTGCTTCCTGTCCAGACAGAAGGCTAGGACTGGGGCTCAGGCCTTGTGTCCCTCCTCAGGGGTCGCTGTGAGGCCCGCAGCTCAGCTGCTCCGTCTTTAGCTGCCTCCAGAGGATGTGTGGTCGGGAGCGTGAGGTCTGCCCTTGGTGGGGCAGGCTGGGCCCCAAGACCGGGGGCAGACACGGGGCCCCACGTAGCAGCAGCGGCGATGGCTCAGGGCTCCTGTGTGCTAGAGCACAGCCCGATGGCAGGAGCCTCCCTCCCTCCCTCCCGGCTGAGGCTGAGCGCCGGTGGGTGCTGGGCCAGGCCTGTCCTGAGCAGGGCCCAGTGGCTTTGGGGACCTGCGGTCTGCGGCAGGGGCAGCTGGGACTGGTGCTATTGGGCACAGCGGAGGGGGCATCGGGCTCCCCAAAGGTGGCCTAGCCTGGGTGGGGAGGGGAGGACCCTCATGTGTGTCCTCTTTTGCTCCTAGTGTCCCACCCACCGCTCAGCAGAGGGGCGCCAGGCGTGGCGGCTCAGCCTGTAATTCCAGTTACTCGGGAGGCTGAGGCAGGTTTGCAAGTTCATGTCCAGTTTGAGCGATTTAGCAAGACTCTGTCTCAAAATTCAAACAATAAAAAGGTGAGGCTGGGAGTGGTGGCTCACGCCTGTCGTCCCAGCACTCGGGAGGCTGAGGCAGGATCGTTGTGAGTTCAAGACCAGCCTGAACCATTGAGTGAACTCAAGGCCACCCTGAACTGCACAGCGAGACCCTGTCTCAAAAAGACAAAACAACAACAACAACAAACAATAAAAGGAGAGGGGTGTGGCTCGGTGATAGAGCACCGAGTGCTCTGTGGGGAGGCTGAGGCCCAGCGGCCCGGTGCAGGCTGTGGGGCTGCTGCTCTCGCCTGAGGGGCCTGCTGTGCGTGCCGGCCTGGCTCGAGGGATGGGCCCTGGGTTCACCTGGCGCAGGTGCACGGCCCCGCCTGGCCTCGGCCTCCTTCCAAGGGGAAGTGGGGGCTGAGGGCCTGAAGTCAGGCCTCGAGCTCTGCAGCCCAGGACCCCACGGCCCAGCCCAACCCCCCACCGCGCGCAGGCTTGGGACTTTGCATGATTTGTCTGTGGCTGGTGCGCGGGACCCTCCTGAGAGGTGGGCCCTGCGTGCTCTGGGCCCGCCTGTCCTAGAACTGGGTCGCCTCCTGCCCACCTGGCCGTGTCCACCCCTGTGTCCTCCACTAGAAGCACTTGTCTGTCCAGGCAGCACTGAGGCGCCTTCTGGAGTGTCCTGGGCCCCCAGCCCCAGCTGGGGCAAGGACAGCTGCAATGAGGCCATCTACTGCCCCTCCTGAGTGGGAGGCTGCAGCGCTGTCCATAGGTCCAAGGTCCCCTGTGCCCAGGCCCTTGAGGCCTCCCTGTCCCGAAGGGAGCCTTGCTGGCCCCGGGGCGGATAAGCAGGTGGGCGCTGGGCTGCCGGTCCACCCAGTGCTGGACCAGTTTCCTGCGGCCCTGGACTCAGCGGCTTCAAGCAGCCCAGCGGCTATGGGAGGTCGGAAGCCTCACTGGACCGAAGTCAGGGCCTCCTGGAGGCCCTGGGAGGATCCGCTGGTGACTTTTTCGGCTTCTGGAGGAGCCCACATTGCTCGGCACAGTACCTGCCTCGGTGTCCCGGCCGGCCCTGGCAGGGCCAGCTTTTCCGCGTCTCAGGGCGGTGAGCCTCCTTCTCATGCTCCCTGGGGCCCTTGCAGTGGCCTCGGCCCCCTGGAGAACCTTGGGCTCCCGGACAAGCTCTCCCAATGCCACGTGTAGTTCGACGCTCACCCTGTAACCTAACGCAGTCTCAGGTCGTGGGTCGGGTGGGGGTGGGTGTCTTTGGGGGCCTGCTACTCTGCCCACGGCGGTGCCGTCTCCCTGTGTTCAGAATGGGGACCCCACCTCGCACCTCCACTCTTCCTCAGCCTGGCTGGGGCATTTCAGGGGGCCGGGGCTCCCCCCAACCTCAGGCACCGGGCACATGCGCAGGGCGGAAGGAGCACGGTTAGTGCTGGACTTCCTTCACCACCCTCTCCAGCACCTGCCTGCCCGGGAAGCCCAGGGCTGCACGTGAACTGCGCGGGTGCCCAGGCCTCCTGCCCATCCTCCGGCCACCACGGGCTGCACGGAGCTAGCAGTGCTCCCAGGCCTTGGCTCAGACGCACAGGCATGGGAAGTGCTATGCCCTGCAGTTCAGGCTGGACTTGAACTCACTTTGTAACCCAGGCTGGCCTCACACTCGAAGTGATCCTCCTGTCTCAGCCTCCTAAGTGCTGGGATTACAGGCGTGTGCTACCATGCCTGGTGGAAGCTGGGCTTTTAAAACTTCCTGTTATTGTGGTAAAATGTATGTAGTGGAGAATTTACCACTTGCTTCTGAGGTGTGCAGCTGGTCATATGAATACATGCCAATTACCGCATCCTTTCATTTCTTCTCCCTTTTGAGGTCTGACCTCAAACTCACTATATAGCCCAGGCTGTCCTGGAGTTCAGAACAACCCTCCTGTCTCAGCCTCCCCAGTGCTGGGATGACAGCTGCATGCCACCATGTCCGCTTTGTTGTCTGCTTTTGAGCTGGGTTGTTTGCCCTTCTGTTGTGGTGTTGGAGGAGTTCTTTTGACAGTCTGGATCCTAAGCCCTAACGAGCTGGCAGCACGGAACCCGTTCACAACTCTGCCCCTCCCACCCTCCGGGGGACACTGCTGTCCCTCTCCTGCTCTTGTGCCCTTTGCACCCTTCTGCCCTGGGGGACACCGTGCACGTGCCTTGCCTGGTCCCCCAGCGCCCCAGGGGCCTGGCACCCCCACAGCCCATCCACTGCGCCCTGCTGCAGGCCCTCCCAGCCCTTCACCCACCGCCCCTTTGTTTCTCTTTTGTAAAATAATAAACAGAGAAGCACAAAGACCGGGACACACGCCTGCCCCGGGATAAACACCGTCAGCAGCGGTCCGTTCCTGTGTGCTCACTGGCTTTCGGCCCTGCAGCCTGAGGCTATGCCAGAACCTCAGGCTGCTCCCTGGCCACTGCCTGCTCCTGACCACGCTGGTGTGACCGTGACTGTCCCTGTCTGGACACCCCTCCTCTGCTGGGCCCCAGCCCGCAGCAGCCCCATTCTGCAGGGCGGTGTTCCATTTCTGCGACCTGACCTTCGGTGACGCCTGCTCTTTTCTTTTTTTTGGTCTTTTTGAGACAAGGTCTCAATATGCAGCTGTGGCTGCCCTTGAGCTCACTTTGTAGCCCAGGCTGGTCTTGAACTCGCAACAATCCTCCTGCCTCAGCCTCCTGAGTGCTGGGATTACAGGCGTGTGCCACCACATCCGGCCTTTTGTTTTTTTTTCGGTACTGGGAATCAAACTCATGACCTCATGCTTGCCAGGCAGGCGCTGTGCCACTGAGCTAAATCCCCAGCCCCCGCCTGCTTTTTTCTGAGTCCGGTCACCCATCCGGTGTGCCCAGGGGGGAGGTGGGCCTGCATCCCCACCCTCCGGGCTGGTTCTGGCCCCAGGCACCGAGTTCAGTGCCAGGCCACACCAAGAGGGCTTATTCTTCTTAGAGAGCCTTGCGGGTATGGGCAGGGTGCCAGACAGGCACTGAGTTTAGTCTCGTGTCACTGCCTGGGGCTCACAGCTGGGGGCAGGTGCCAGGTGTGGTGGCACACGCCTGTGACCCCAGCAGTCTGGGAGGGTGAAGCAGGAGGATTGAAAATTTGAGTCCAGCCTGAGCAACTTGGCGAGACCCTGTCTCAAAAATGAAGCAGTGTGTGCGTGTGCGTGTGCATGTCGGGGTGGGGGGATGTGGGCAGGATGGAAGACAGAATGGAGGGAAGGACGGACAAGGACCCCACGGGAGTGTCCACCTCACCTGTCTGCCTTGTCCCCCCTGCAGCCAAGTACCCAGCCATCAAGGCCCTGATGCGGCCGGACCCGAACCTCAAGTGGGTGGTGCTGGGCCTGGTGCTGGCGCAGCTGCTGGCCTGCTGGCTGGTGCGGGACCTGGCGTGGCGCTGGCTGCTCTTCTGGGCCTATGCCTTCGGCGGCTGCGTGAACCACTCACTGACGCTGGCCATCCACGACATCTCCCACAACACCGCCTTCGGCACGGGCTACGCCTCGCGCAACCGCTGGTTCGCCGTCTTCGCCAATCTGCCCGTGGGCGTGCCCTACGCCGCCTCCTTCAAGAAGTACCACGTGGACCACCACCGCTACCTGGGCGGCGACGGGCTGGACGTGGACGTGCCCACGCGGCTCGAGGGCTGGCTCTTCTGCACGCCGGCGCGCAAGCTGCTCTGGCTGGCGCTGCAGCCCTTCTTCTACTCGCTGCGGCCGCTCTGTGTGCACCCCAAGGCCATCACCCGCATGGAGGTGCTCAACACCCTGGTGCAGCTGGCCGTCGACCTCACCATCTTCGCGCTCTGGGGCACCAAGCCCGTGGCCTACCTGCTGGCGAGCTCCTTACTGGGCCTGGGCCTGCACCCCATCTCCGGCCACTTCGTGGCCGAGCATTACATGTTCAGCAGGGGCCACGAGACCTACTCCTACTACGGGCCGCTCAACTGGATCACCTTCAACGTGGGCTACCACGTGGAGCACCACGACTTCCCCAGCATCCCGGGCTGCAACCTGCCCCTGGTAGGTGCCCGGCGGGGCGGGGCAGGGCAGGGCAGGGCAGGGCAGGGCAGGGAGGGAGCCCTGGGGGACTTGGGCCAGGCCCACGTTGCCTCTTCCTGTCTGTGCTGGTCAGGGCATAGCCACTCACAGAGCGGTCCCAGGACAGTGGGAAGGGCCACGAGACCCCAGGTACCCGGGTGGCGAGGAGGGGCGCAGGCCCGGAGCGTGGGCCCCGAGAGGCAGGCTGCAGCCCAGGCGCTGCGTGTAACCACAGGCCGCGTGATGCCTGCCGCGATGCTGACTGGCCTTGTGTCCCCAGGGGAGCCGCGTGTCCAGCGTGGCCCGCACTAGCCAGTACTGCCTGTGAGGCCCCTCGTCCTGTCTCCGACACCGCAGGGCTGGGCCCCCGGGGACAGGGTGGTGGCCTTGTACTTTGCAGCCCGGAGCTGCAGGGAGTGGGAGCCTCGGGAAGCTCTGCTGTGGGCCCTGGCCCTGGCCTTGGAGAATTTTTGAGAGAGAGGAGGGAGGGGACAAGGAGGAGGAAGGGGACTCCCCCCCGCCCGCCAGGTCTGCCCGGTGGGCCGGGGCCGGGGAGGCGTGGCGGGAGGTACGCAGGTGTCACTGTGTCTGGGTGTGCACGTCTTGGAGGGCGAGTGCTGGAGTTCCAGCCCCATGCCCAGGCGCGCAGGTGCCTGTGTCGCTCCTCTGTGCTGGCACAGCCGAAGTGGGGCCCCAGCCGGCCCGGGTGTAGTCCTCAGCCTCGGCAGAGCGAACGTCCCCGCTGTCTTCAGCTGGGAGGCCGGGCTCCTGAACCTTGCAGGTCTGCCAAGAGCCCCTGACCTGGACCTGGGCCGAGGTGACTCAGTGGCCACAGGCCGGGTGCACTTCCTGAGGAGGTGGCAGGTCAGGGCTGGGCCGGGTGGAGGAAATGTCAGGTGAGGAGGTAGGAGCCAGGGCCAGGAGTGTGGCAGGGGAGAGGGCATCAGACGCTGGGCTGAGGAGCAGGTGACCCGAGGTGCGGCAGATGCAGGCCAGCCCGTGCCCGAGACCTCTGGAAGCCCAGCGGGTCGGTCTCTGGATTCCAACGCTTGCGTGGGTTCTGGGGCTGGGGCACTGTGACCCTCCGCCTCACCCTGGGGTTCCGAGCCGCAGGGGTGGGCAGGGCAAGCAGGTGCCCCCAGGGGCTGACGGTGCGTGTGGGCAGCCCTGATCTCGACCCTCCCTGCAGGTGCGGAAGATCGCGCCTGAATACTACGACCACCTGCCGCAGCACCACTCGTGGATGAAGGTGCTCTGGGACTTCGTGTTCGAGGACTCCCTGGGGCCCTATGCCAGGGTGAAGCGGGTGTGCAAGCTGGCCCGGGACGGCCTCTGAGCCCCAGCCGCTGTCCCCGGGGCCGTGCTCACTTTCCGTGCTGCGCAGCTTGCTGCCCGTGCCCTGGCCCTGGGCCATGGGTGCTCGGCTTCCCTGACCCGAGCCCTCAGCTGCCACCTGTTCCTCTGGACCCTGGAAGTGCTGTCATGGCCAGGCCTGGTGGCGGAGCCGCTTGGTTTGCATGTGGGCTCTGTGGCACCTCTGGGCCTTCTGGGGCAGGCGAGGCCCATGTCACCTGCTGGGCTCTGCGCCTGGGCTCTCCGTGGAGCTAGCTGCCTGGTGTTCCTGTACCACATTAAACCAAGGTTTGTTTCCAGTCCTGCCTTGTGGTCTGAGGGGTGGTCTCGGTGGCAGGCTGGGCCCCAGGGCACGAGGACCCAGGGCTGGGCAGGCGGCGCCCAGGGCCTCCGTGTCGGCCCCCTCCTGGCCACCACATGCCAGCCCCACTGCCCAGGCGCTTCTCAGGGCCTTGTCACCGGGCTGGGGGGCTCTAGGGACATGGACAGCAGAAGCCCCTGCGGCCTTGGGAGTCTGAGCAGCAGCCTGACACCTGGGGCCTGGAAGCTGTGTCCAGGGCAACAGCGGCAGGTGCTGTGAGCCTCCCTGCAGAGGGAAGGGTGTGGCCGGCTGGGGCTGGGGCGGAGGCAGGCGGAGGCCGGCGCTGGGCCAAGGTCATGGCACAGGTGCGGACGGGAGTATCTGTAGACCGAGAAGAGGGAGGCCGGGAGGAGGGTGCGCAGCTGCTCCTCCCCTGGGTGTGGCTCCAGGTGGTGCCAGGCACAGGTGTCCCTGAGTGCTGGGATGTCCCTGAGGCTGCTGCTGTGCCTGGAGGACTTTGAGTCCAGGTGGGCGGCCCCTCCCTGCGCACACAGGCTCCTGCCCAGCCTGGGCTGCGCCTGCAGCTCCTCCGCGTCTGCCATGGGCAGCCCTGCAGACCTCTACAGATCACGCCACTGAGGGCGGAAGGGCAGCAAGCCCTCGGGGCGGGGGTCTGCCAGCCGTGGCCTGGCCTGGCCTTCAGGAGCCCGGTGCTGGCGTCATACCGCAGAACAGCAGATCACACGCCTCTGGGGCGCTGGGCACGCGGGAGGGAAGGAGCATGGAGGGCAGGGCCAGACAGCGCAGCTCCCCTGGAGCCAGCGTCCTCCCCTCTGCCCGCGGCCCGAGCGGGCTGAGCCCGGGGTGGGCACTCCGCTCTGGGGTCATGGTGGCCACGGAGGTCACGTGGGACAGCCTGGAGCAAATGGTCACAGGACACCAAGGCCTGTACTGCTGGGCTCCTGCCCACACCTACACTGGTGCCCGAGGCCAAGGGTCAGACCCCGCCTTTGGCTACATGAGGAAGGGCTGAGGGTCACAGCCAGGAGGCCCACCCGATGCCCCGTGGCAGCCAGCGCGGGCCAGGCTGTCTGCGTCGGGGACAGTGGAAGCAAAGCCGCCCTCACTGCCCACTGCCCGGAGCTCCACTCCCCGGGCTCCAACGGGCGGACGCGCAGGGACCCCTGCGATGTCCCAGGAGGGGTGTGCCGAGGGCCCGTCCCTGGGGGCCCCTGAGGTACGTGGTCCTCTCTGGGAGAAGCTGAGGCCCAGCAGAGCTGCCCGGCTCACCCCTGGGTCCCGAGTCCTCTGACCCCGCTCTTGTTCCTGTTCTACCTGCTCACGCCGGCCCCGCCCCTCCCTGCGGCAGAGGCCAGGGCTCGGCCCAGGTGGCAGCACAGGTGCGCACGGCCTGGGCAACGAGGGCCGCCGGCGGCGCGACTGAGCGAGCTCGAGCCGTGTGTGGACAGTGAACAGTTTATTACGGTGTGGACGGCACACGGTGCGTGGACAGACTGTTAACAGCACGGTCGCCGGGACAGCTGCGCGGGAACCCACGCCGCGCCTGGCTCCTCGCTGCCTGCGAAGGCGCCGACAGCGTCACCTAGGAGAAAACTCGGAAACCATCTAATGAAGCAGGTGATCGGGGTGTCCTCTAGAGACCCAAAGAAATGTACACTTAAATAAGCAAATATAAAATACAAAAAAAGGGTGGGCCTGGTGCTCTGTGCTGGGTAGAATCTAAAAAAATCCAGGAGTTGACTGTTTCCTCATCTCAGCCTTCAACCCCAGGCAGAGGCCTTGGTGAGTGACGCGCACCGGCTCCTTGGGCTGGCGTGTGCTGGGGCCGGGGCCGCCGCTCCTCGCTGTCCTCCGTGGCTGGGGTCACCTACGTGGTGCTGACCCCGCTCAGCTCCTGCCTGATGGCTGAGGGTCGGGACAGGACAGAGAGGGGCTCAGGCCACGTCCTATGTGGACCGGCCTGCACCGTCCTCACCAGCATGGGACCCGGTGTCCCAGCCCAGGCCACTGGAGCTCATCCTTGGGCTGAAGGCCCAACACCGCGGCAGCTTTGGCAGGGACACTTTGGGAGACCACAGGGCCCTGTGGTCACCTCTTCTGCTGCCACCTCCCTGTCAGAAGATGAGTTGGGGGAGCATGCTGGCGCTCCAGGAGTGGCCTCTGGCACTGGGCACCAGGACGCTGCCGTGAGGAGCTGCTCTGTACCGCCCAGGCCCAGGGCGCCAGAGCTGTCTGGGGAAGACAGCCCCCGGCCGGGTAGAGCGGAGGTTGGGCCCCAGCGCTAGCCCCGGCGGTGGACTCTGCCGACCTCACCCTGCCCTCCTGGCCCACACTGCCTGAGTCAGCCTGGCCAGTGATAAAGGGGTCTCCCCAGCCACAAAGGCCGCTGGGCAGGCAGAACTGGACAGGCAGGAACCGCGCTCTCGGCGGGCTGGTTGTGGCCTGCTTGGCCCGTACCATCCCTTTTCCTCTGGCTGCAGATCTGAGCTAGCTCCTCAAAGGCCTGCTGGGACCGGAAGGACGGATGTGATGCAGGGGACGCGGCCCTGCACTCTAGAGCCAGGGGTTCTTTCAGGGGAGCTGAGACTGGGAAGCTCAGGAATAGGTGGGGGTTCCTGGTCCCCTGCACGCCCAGAAAGATGTTGGCAGGCCAGAGAGGCAGAAGGAACCAACAGATACCGAGGGCCTGGGGGCATCTGCCAGGATCCCCCCACAGGGTCTCCTGTCCTCGAGGGGAAGCAGGGACATGGGGCCTCGGGTTCAGGCCACCCACGGAACTCTGAGCCCAGTTTATACAGCTGGAGGTGGGCATCATGAGGAGAATGTGCTCTATTCTGCGTGGGTCCTGACTGGGTGCCTGGCCAGACCCACCCTGGTGCCACCCCCTGCTCAGCGCCCTGCAGGCATTGCCCCCCCCCCCCCCCCGCCGCCCCCCCCGCATGCCGCAGCTCCCGGACAGCCCGCAGGCCCCCACTCACCGTCGATGATCTCCTCCTTCACCTTGTGCAGCTCACGCACCACCTCCTCCAGGATCTCCTGCGGGATGGAGCCTCGGAGTGGGGACAGGCGGCGGGGAGCAGGCACCTGGCTCTACGGCCAGAGCAGCCCCAGGAGGGACACCTGTGCTCCAGTGCTGGCGGGGCTGGGGACAGCTCGTGTGGGACACCTCTTTCCTCCACGGGCCAGCTCCCCGGCCGACAGAGCCACACGCAGGCCCTGTGGACAGGAAGTGGCCCCAGGGGCTGCACTTCCTGCCCAGGGGGAAGGAAGCGCTCACCTGTTTCATCCGGTCCAGGTCGAAGGCGTCCAGGGCCATGTCACTCACACTCCCGGCAGGCTTCACTCTGGGAGAGGAAGACGGGTGCACACTGGTGGGCGGCAGGGCCTGTGGGTGCCTCGGGAGGTCTGGGGGCCTAGAGGTCCCTGGCCTTTCTGGAGCTCTACGCATGGTCGCACTCAGTCTAGCTCAGGGGAGCTCTGCTCTGCCACGGCCACACCTCCCAGCGGACCTGGGGCCCCCGAGGGCCAGCTGTCCGACTGCAGGGCTCTCCCAGAGGTGGCGGCTCAGGTAGACACGGTGACAGCTGCCTAACACCTCCCGGGGGAGAAACACGGCAGACACCTAGTCCTCAGTGTGGCCTCTGTCCCCGGCTAGAGCCAGCACCTGTGGCATGAAGTTCCACGCAAACCTGCAGGCAGCTCATCAGGAAGGCACCCACACCCCGCCCACGCCAGCACCCCCCGCTGGCAAGTGGCACCCCGGGGTGCAGCTTTGCTCTTGGCAGCAGCGGTCGCAGGCTCACTTCTAGCAGAAGGCGCTGCGCGAGCGTGAACGCCTCCCGCACAGACCTCCTGCCTGGGTCTCACGCCGCCCCGGGGTCTCTCAGGACCCCGCCAGGGCGCAGGCCGGGCTCACTCTCCTCACGTGGAGGACGGTGCTGTGAGCGGGCTCGTCACGTCCGGGACCCGAGCTGCCCACTGAGGGACACGGTGGTGCGTGGAGGTTCCAGCGCCTCCTGGACGCACCCGGGAAAGGCCCGAGGTGGTGCTGGCTCAGTCTGTGAGAATTCGGGTCCTCCCGGCCTGCGGGCTTCCCTGCGAGGTGCAGGCGCCGCTCCTGGTCGCGCCCCCCTAGCCACCCCACGCGCAGCTTCCTGAACATGCTGTGCGGGACGGGACGCTCCTGGGAACCACCCGAGAGGCTGGAGAGAGACCCCAGACACCTGGCCCCCCGAACACGTCAGTGGGCCTCCCCCACGCTCCCGGCTCTGGCCGCTCTCGCCCTGCTGTGGTCACCTCCCCTCCACTGCTCGGTCCCCAAGCGCTCATCCCACTGGCTCTGGGCTCCACCGTCAGCCAGGCCCTGTATACGGGGCACAGAGGCCACTGGGCCAACCCCTCCCCTCTCTGCCCTCCAGCCACAAGGCAGGAGTGGCCACTGCTCCCGGCCCAGCACCTCTGGTCCCACACCTGCAGGCCGCACAGCGCCGCCCTCCTGTTCCAAGGCCCCAGCACCACTCCCTAAGCCACCGGGGCCTGCCCTGAGCCCCTCCCAGGACGGCAGGGGTCCTTGCTTGCGTGCTCCGTGCTCCTCCGGGGCGGCTGTCCCCAGCACACAGCTGGCGGCTGCGGGGCCTCCTCCTCCGTTGCCTGTGCTACCAGGCCATGGCTCTCAGGGCCGGCTGGAGCCCTGCTCTGCTCATCCCCTGCTTCCCACCGCAGGCCAAATGTCCAGGCCCCTGCGTGACCGGCGTCCTCTTTCACTTTGGGGCCAGCAGGGGGGCAACCCTTGGGGTGGGCTCAGAGGCCTTTGGGCCCAGGCACACGTGGCCTGCGGTTACTCCTGGCTGCCTGCCTCGTTCTGGGTAAGCTCAGTGCCAAGTGTCCCGTCCTGCGGTCCCAGGGGCTGGGCTGGGAGGGAGCCGCCAGGGCTGCACACACGGGCAGGGAAGGAGACCGGCTGGAGGGCGGGGTCTG